ATATACATGTACCTATTATTTTATTTTGACAAAAAAAACTAGAAAATCAATTCNGTTAAATAATAGGTTGGGGTGCTGGGAATACCTTGCGTTAGGGAATGCATCGCGGCAAGAATACCTTGCGACAGTGAAGGAGTATTTTGGGGATTTTCAAAGTAATACAAGAGTTTTACTATGATTTAGTAAGTTATGCAATTTACCAGGAATTGACGTATTAAATTTACTTGGACTAGAATTAGGGTTATTAACATGTGTCTATTAAGGCCTATACACTAGTAGACACTCGTGGCGAGCGCATTTAAAGGGTCCACTCTAATGGTTAGTGACATTGACGTATGATATCAAAAAATAATTTTTTCAATACGACATTGCTACCCATAAAAAACGGGTTTGCCATGAAGCCAGGTGGTGAATTGAAGGACAATCAAGCAAAAAAAATAATTGGTGGTGGTCATCTATGCGATGACATTTTTCTTTCAAAAACTACTTTCTGTTTTCTTGCAGTGTCAAAACAGTACTATGTCCTTCTCTAGCTTCAAACTTTAGGTAACTGTTTTTCATACCATAGCAACCTTCATATATACATCTTTACCATATGTAGTAGCAAATACATTTATACCAAATCTCTTTGCATATTTCATTTTTTTTTTTTTGATCAAAAGAAACGACCATACCAAATTTCCTTGAATCCGTTCTTCCAAGAAACAAGTGTTTTTTTGCCGTTCTCTATAAGTCAACACATTACCATTCTACTAAGAGTCATTACAATCAAACTCGCACCCTGCTTTTTTCCCGACTTATGTTTTCACAACTTCAATAACAAGAGCCCAACATTGTTCTTAGGCCACTACAGTAACATTTCTTCGAGATTTCACATAGAATCTTTGACCATCGACTTTGATATCACTTGTTGGGGGATAGGAGGGGTCAGAGATCTAAGATTTAATATACATGTCTGAAAATAATAATCACCTACAAATTTACGCTTATAGGTAATGAGTTCATCCATTATATATATATTAGCTCATTTCTACGTTCTTTTTTATCCGATGTAAGATTCCCACACAAGTAATACCTAACAATACCCAAAGCAACAATGTCAATCGATAAACATTATATATTGTTGACTGCCAACTTCGATCAATTTCGATGAATTAGATTACTAATTAGGATCACAATGTTTTTAAAAGGTTTCATAATAATAAAAAAAATACAACTGAGAAGTAGTCCTTTATTGTCAGTTCCTCGACGGTTTGGCATGGCAAGGCATCAATTTGACTCGGATGATAACTTTCATTCTCTCCCTCGGAAAGGTACTGGTGTTGGTTTGAACTGCTCTAAAATAAAATGTAGTTAAGTAACAAATGATTTGGAACCTTATGTCCTGTGAATAACCTATCATTTTTTTGCTTCCTCCCTCCCCAAGGCATTGAAGGATCTAGGTATTAGGTTTAGGGGGACAAATCTTTTTGAACAAATTGTTAAGGGTGATTGTGAAATAAAAAGAAAAAAGATTGGGAAAACAAACTCCGAATGATTTGAAGAACGACTTAGCAAATAATGAATCTGTTTAGAACTAATTTAAATAGGTGAATTATATAGGATTTGGAGTAAAATAAGTAAGGTCCGTTTTAACATGAGCTTTTGGACCAGCTTTTTAGATCAAAAAAGACTGATTCAAGAAACTGATTTTATGGGTTTTTTTCTTCTGACATTTTTAAATTTTATCGCAGGTCTCATATAAATTTTTAGTATATTATATTCATATAATATTATTAGTGACATAAAAAAATTTGAAATTCATATTTGGAGAACTATTATGCATTATCTATATATACATGTACCTATTATTTTATTTTGACAAAAAAAAACTAGAAAATCACTTCAACCATACTTTTTCAATTTTTTAAAGAACACCCCAAATAATTTTGAAGATCCTTTTTTAACTCTGATTTTTTGACAATTTTTCAAATCGTAATTTTTCATTTAAAAAAAAACTAACTTCAAACAGACCCAATATATAAATTCAAGAAATTTCAGCTTAAGAGGAGTTGGCTTCCTCCACACCCATCTTTGTCTACACTTATTCTTGCCCATAGAGAAAGATAAAATATAAAATGGGTTTGTCCAAATGATTAAAACGTTCTCCTTCTCTAACCCTGATCCAAGCAAGTTCAATATCGTCAGTCAGTGGCACAATAATTTTACACAAGTCAGAAAGCGATATGGTTATAGATGATAGGTGGACCAGCCATTGGGCTACCCACCACGTGATGTATGGTTGCATTCCACTGCAGTTGTAAGGTTGGTTGGACCATCTTTTTTACCTTAGCTTCTTATCTTCATCCTTTCCCTCTCTTTCAATCTCACGCTAACTCATTCTTCTTGTGTGACCATTTGCCTCTCTCTGTCTAAAATAATTTTAAAATCATTAAATAATAACTTTTTTTTTGTTTAACGATGAAAAATGTTCGGACCAATTTATATGTACTTTAACTAATCCCTTATAATTTGACCCTAAAACATTTATCAAAATTTGAAACCTAAACAACTAAATTTATAACTCATCTTTATTATCACGGAACTACACGTATATAGATCTTCAAATTCCGCTACATCCATGTGGGGAAAGACAAAGCTAGCATGCTCAACCTTAAATCATCTTGTGTTTGTGCCTTATCGCATCAAAAAGACACTCGATTTACACCCGACCATTTATTATTTTTATAATTTAATTCTCATCATGTTAAATTTATATTTGATAGTGCTTGAAAACACTCTGTCCAAGTCCAGGTCATTGTTTTGCAAAATAGGGGAAGGTAATATGAATACTCTAAGCTAATAGAGGAAATATATACGATCAATGACAATATATAAGTGGGTGAAAAATTAGGGTTACGTCCACTGTAATAAAAGCTCTTGCTCGGTAGGGTTTATATTACTGGAAGAAGAAGATTACAGTGAGTTTCTTAGCTTAGGACTTTTCTGAACACTGCCTTGTGAGTAGAGATTTTTCTGGTAGGTTTTACATTATGTCATGGTGTTCTATTTATACAAGAGTTTATTTAGGATTTTCTACAATCTTCCTCTTACTTCGGTTGATTCTGTAGTTCCCTTCTTTTGGTTTTGAAATGATGGTTGTTACCCTGACAGTAGTCATATTCACGGTTCTTTAATGAAATGTACACAAATATTTTTTTTATCAGAGAGTACACGTTTATTAAAGACTCTAAAAGTTGTCCCCTGATCCCTTGGACATGTGGCGCGATATAAGACATTCAGGATCTAGTAAATACCGAACTCCTTAATCCTAGACTGTTTATTATGACAGAGCAGAATTGTGCCTAACTGGACTTTCTGTTGGACTCTCTCATTTGGATTATGGCCCATTCTTTGCGAGCAAATGGTCTATAAAAGGATCTCTTGGACCGTTATGCACCCGTTGAGCTCATTAAATGATTTGAGTTTAGGATAGACAACTCACTTCAAAATCCTACCATTATCAATATCGTATATACCTCATGTTAATGTCGTATTTAATCTAAATTTTATCACATTTATTTGATACATTTTCTAATTCATCACATAAATGTATTAAAAATCATTAATTCTGTTTTAATTTCATGTTTCATTAATATTTACATGTCTTTGTCAAGAATTATCAGTCCCGAAAGTTTTGAGTGGTTTTTTGCAGCGGATGGCACGTGGCTTACCCTCATCTTTGAGAGAGCGTGGGGAGAGAATGACAAGTTAAATAAATATGGTCCACTTTTTGCAATATTTTACGGCTGTCTAGTCGCCGTTGAAGCCAAAGTACAAACTGAATACCACAAAAACAGCACACAAAAAACGAAATTTTATAATTTAATTAATTATTCGTCATTTAGTAATATATATTCGAGTTCATCCCTTTTTTTAGGCATGTTCGGTTGGCGGTTCAAAGACTTGACAAAATGAATTTAGAGAAAATATTTAAAGGAATTTTAAATTTTATGTTTGAATTAAAAATTTAATTTTGAGTTCTTAAATCTGGTCTGTAGCTGATCCACATATTAAATTCAATTTCGTCAAACTTAAGAGGAGGTGGATTTATGAAGATGGATTAAAGATGTAAAAGACAATTGTATCTTTTAACATGAATATGAATTGAATTGCTCAAGAAAAAAATAGGTCTTTATAAGATATATAGTTGTTAATAATTATAATATATCCGTGAGTCCTACTTATATATATGTTAGGTATGAATCGAATTTAATGTTGAATCATTTCTTTGTAAAAAAAAAATTGAATTTGAAATTATTTAGAAAAATCAATCCAAACTCTTCTAAAAAATTTATCTAAACATGCCCTTTGAGTTTGCTTCATGTATATTAATGTATAGAATTAAATTCGTACTACATTAATATACTCATTCCCTCTTAATCGACTCATTCATTATGTAAATTTGATAAATTAATTCAATTATGATTCAAATCAATTAAATTAAATTCATATGTTATTGAATTTATCGATCAGCAAAATCCTACTAGACTCGACCCTCCTCTCTCTCTCTCATCAAACACCATCTTCAATCGTCACACTTTTATTTTTTTAGCGTTTAAAATAGATATTTAGATAAGTTGTTCCACTTATTCGTTAGGGAGTATTGTCCTTTAACACTATAAAGTTATTTGCAAGGGATTTCATCGCACTTATGTATAGTTGAAGTTAAGATCTACTTCAGAAGAGTAAGTTTAATTCTACCAAATTAGTATAACTATAAAGACTCATCCTCAAACATTGACCAAAAAAATTGGATTGGAATTATTACTCGGTAAGAATGACTCATTCCTTTTAGTCTTCACCTTGGGGCTTGGCCATCCCAACTCCATTATACAGGAGACATAAATATAGCTAGGTTGTCTTCCCAACTCTTGTCTGCCATAAACAAACTACAATACACCTCTCTCTCTCTCTCTCTCTCTCTCTCTCTCTTTTGTTTTAGTTAAGGAGATAGAACAATGCCAAGCACACTAGGAAGAAACCTCAATCTTTGCTTCACAAAGTTCAAGCGTACATCATCACCCCAACCATCTCTCCAAGAAGATGATAGCCGTTCATTACCCAACTCCACCACATCTTTCTTAATTAAAAACTTCAACTCTCTCTACGACCTCACTTTGGACTGCGCCACCACTTCCAAGTTGCTCAGCCGCAGCTCCTCCGATGATAACCTCTCCACGGCGGTGGAATCCGACAGGACAGACACTGAAACTACCACCCCTGACTTCGCCACCGTCTTCGCCTCCAAGCGCTTCTTCTTCTCCTCACCAGGCCGCTCTAACTCCATTATCGAGTCATCGTCATCAATTTCATCAGCAGCATCCACGTCATCGTTATTGCCGGATAACCCATCGGAATCTGAGACCCTCGTCGGAGGTAGCATTGCCATCCCCACTTACTCTCCGGACCCTTACATGGATTTCCGGCGATCAATGCAGGAGATGGTGGAGGCACGTAACCTGATCGATGTTAGAGCCAATTGGGACTACTTGCATGAACTTCTCATGTCCTATCTCGCTCTCAATCCTAAGAGCACCCACAAGTTCATAGTCGGAGCTTTTGCCGATCTTCTTGTCAGTCTCATGACATTACCGGTCGAGGGAGGTCGCCGGAGATCTGAGGTCTCAGGTGGTGGTCGTCAGATCACACGGCGTCGCATGTAATTAAGGCAGTTTAATATTGGTTTTTAGATGATGATCATGGTTACATAATATTCATTGAATTTATTCCCAACATAAATATTGACAGTTCATGAATATATGTATGTGGGTATATGCATAATGCATCCCCCCCCCCCGACCCTATTGTCTTCCTTATCTTTTGCATTATCCTATTTTCTATCTTTGTTTTGAAGCTATTTTCATTGACAATTGGTAGGTACATAATTTGAGAGTTTAATCAAGAACATGGTTTATTACAATTAGTGGATTAATTTTAAATTTAATGTTAGACCGAACTTATTTTTATTCAATAATTATAATTAATTAATTTACAAGATTAAATCTCTAAATTAAATCGAATTTTTGTCTCTATTTATCCTTTTGCTATGTCCACTATTTAAGGTACAGGTTCCCCCACCACTCCCACTCCCACCCCTGCGCCCACTTGAGCCATTCAGGTTTCGGTGGTGTGGACCTTCTGGCTCCTGCCATCTTTAATGCGCCAGTGGCCCCTTCAAATGATCTGTTTTTGGGAACTGTGATTAAACATGAAATAGGGTAAGCGTGGACTGTTCAACTTACGGTAAGTTTAAACGCTCTATAATAAAAAATCTCATGTCCTCAAACTCTGTATTGACATAAATCTAATCTCATTTACTGAACTGTCTTTTAATATGTGATAATGTTATGAATCATCGACATAAAATGTATCCATTTTAATCTATTTTACGTATTTATGAAAATAAAACATCTCTTCGTATGCCGGAAAAGACGGTGATTCGAGACCCTGCGATGATAGAAGACCCTTGCACTAAACAAGCCATTGTACACAAAAGATATTGGCTCTATAGAAGAACACATCTAAAAATTAAGTCCACCACTATACAATTTCTCAAGTAGTTGTCACTTGCGCAGCGAAGAAGAAGATCAAAGCATTCTCAGACTGTCCCCATGTCTATTAATAACAACAAACCGATGAACTAATTGTTTCTTTTTCTTTTCTTTTTAATCTCCTAGCCTCGAGCTTTCAATGTGGTTTAAAGTCATGGCATTTTGTCTCTTATGCAGTCGTTATCTTTTTATAACTGACGCCATGTTCATAGACCGACCATTGAACCAGTAAAAAATTGGTGATTCTCACGGGTCAGTGTTGTTATATACAGATAATTCTTGTTTTTTTATGGTGGCTGATTAGGCAGAATCTTTGAGTCAGAAACTTTCTGGATCAATATGATGCCAAACATAGATCGATAAACCGGGGGGAGGAGGCCCAGCAAAGACAAAATCAGGGAATCTTTGATTTTGTTTTTGGGTAAAGGGTTTGATTTGTTTTTTTGGAGATGCCACTAAAGACGACTTGTTTCTGCAAACAAATAATCAATGACACTATTATCCATGGTTCAAACAAAATGATAGTCGACTACTCAAGTGGGTAGACGTCAAACTCGGACATAAAAAAGTGTACTAATCTGTCTTCACAATTAGGGGTGTTGCCGAGACGAACCGGTCGAATTCGACTCAAATAAAATTCAACCCGATTTATATTTTAAATGAGTTAAATTTGAACAATTTTTAAAATTTGTTTAAAACAATGAGTTATACATAAAATAGTCAAGTTGCTCGGACTCTGCTTGAGTTTTAAACGAGCCAAATTTAAATAATTTTTTTAACTCATTTAAAAAAATAAGCTCAACTCAATTAACACATCTGTTCACGATGCATCACAAGCTCGACTCTTAGAAATAGTTCCTTCAAAGGAATGGAGTAAGATTGCCCATCACCTTTCGTACTAATCACGTGGCACCCTAAATATTTTGAGTCATCTCTTGCTCATAATATACCCGAGTTTCCCTCATTAAGCCTCGTACTGTTAGATTTCATTCTAGATAAAAATGAGAACTGGTTTTATAGCAGGCATATCTTTCCAAATCGCACCCAACATTTGCTTTCGTTGGAGCTTCTCATTTTCCACCTGACATATTTCTTGATTAATTCTCTCAAGTCAACAGTTTGGCCAACAATCATAGACAATGCTTTCTTCACGAGTGCAAAAACATTTATTTCACGAGGGATTCCATCGGCCAAACAACATGAATTACCTCCATGGACCCAAATGTTATAGTTGTACGAGTAAAACGATTTCTGGGTTTTAGGCTCTGCAAGAAAATTGAAAGCTTGGGATGAACCAGCCCAATATGCTTCAATAGTCAAAAGTCAGCAATGGAGGGGTTCGAGCCGGATTGGGAACCCACTCTCTCCCATTTCTTTCCCTCACCCCCTCCGCTTCCACAGCCAACCCCCAAAACTCCATCGCCACCCACAGCATAAATGGTGGTGGTTGGGTGTGTTTAAAGTGGAGGGCTTCAGCTAACTTTTTAAGGTGATTGGTTTGTGTGGTGACAAGTGATTCCACAATATCCTGGTTTAGATTGTTGGAAGACAAGGAATCCAATGATATAAATAAACCCAGCACAAGTTCAAACCTTATACACACCTAAAAACTTAAACCTTAATGACCCTTTTCACTCATTTTCACTTTCACTATGGGCTCGTCGTCGCTAATGAAATCACAACACATGCCCATAAGCATAAATGGAGAACCAATATACACAAATATGCCCTACCTGAAAACTGCTTCTAATTTTTAATCTACATAACCAATGGATTAAAGAATTGAAATGTGAAAATCTCAAGACTACCTCCAATATCTCGTAAATTATCTCCTCTAGTTTCTTTGAAAAATGTGATTCGGCACTACATCACATTTATCTCCAATTTTAAAACTTCCCAACCTCTTTCAGCTTGAGACTTCCCTTCAAAAGTCCTACAGCACAGCCTTCACACATGGCCTCAGACAGACAATCCTAAGAAAAAGCCGAGAGGCTAGCAACAAATAACCAGTGTGCCAAATTTAGGTGGCAAAGAGGATAGTAGTACTGAAAACAAATACTGACAGCTGCTGATTTTTAACATATCAAAATGAGAGTGTTACCATGGTATCCTAAGTAATTCATGGAGGTAGAATCTACTAAGTTTTTTTCACAAGGAAAAAGCCAAGACTAATTTTCTTCACAAGCTAAAAAAGTCAAGGACTTTGCCCTCGACAGTTTCTACTTCATTCATCCTTGTACCCTCCGCCCTCTTGCATCAGCAATCTCCAAATCGCCTGTTCCATTTAACAATGGCATAGCAAACCCAAATAGGCTCTAGAGAGCTAATTCCATGCAATCAGTAATTGCTTGCCTAACTACTATGTGAAAATTCCGCTATTTATCACAAAATCCCCTTGTTCCTTAAAAATGACTCTAGGGAGAATCCAACCCATCCTTCAAGTTAGAGAGATCTTCTATGAAAAAGTGACGAAGCTCTCATTCAAACATCCCAACAATTAAAAAAGGTCGGAATTGGTGAAAATGTGTAAGACTTATTTTGGAATTCAGAGTAATAAGGCCAATTCAATTTGAATTAGAGGGCAATTCACCATCTTGGGTACTTTCCAGCTTCTCGAGGGCTGCAACAAGGGTTCCAATTTCCAAACCTAGGCTGTTGATTTTGGGAGAAGAAGTGCTTAAGCCGGGGCCCATAGGAGTTGATATCATTGAAAATGAGAACACCTTACCATGGTTCGAGATCATGCCCAACACTCTCCCATTATCTTTGCGAACGATGTTCTAATATTATATAATGGCCATAAACGAAAAAGAAGCGGATTGTAATGACCAAAAAGGTCAATTTCAATAAGGGCCAATGCTTCCTCTCGAACAGAGCTCCTCGTAAAAATTCTAGATCATTGAAGAGGAATCCAAAAAAGTAGTTTTCCTATCAAGTACATGGATGTTCCCTTGTCCCTCAAGAGAATAAAGAAAGAACATTGTCTTCCTCTACTTGAGAAAATGAAAAAGATAATCTTAGGTTAGAAAAACAAATTGTTGTCCTCCGGAGGTCGACCAACACTTATCAAACATGTTCTAGTCTTCTTATGCACACGTTTCAGTTTTTTCCTTAATTTACCACTAAACTTGTTTGTGAGGTATCATGGCTTAATAGAGAGGATGAAATACCACACGCTAGGAGAAATAAATTTCAAAAGCATATTCGCACAATCCAGCAGTACCAACATAAGCATATGATTCCTCCGAAATTCTATGCTGCAGTCACATGGCATGTACTCCCTGCATCTCCAAGGTTCACTAAACTTCTAATCTAGTCAAAAAAAATCCCATTAAACTCAAAATGCTACTACATAAACCAGAAGTTGCACATAGTTGAATAGCACGGCACAAGGGTATAGTAACCGATAATATCCAAAGCACTACAAAATTACCAAATAAGACAAGAAGTTCTATGTAGTTTAGTAATACGACAGATAATAGCAACCCAGAATACTCAAGTAGTAAAAAAATTACCAAATAAGCAGTGCACTCATTGTTTGAAACTCAAAAGGCATACTAATTGGGAGGTCTAAAAACAAACAATACTACTTGTGAGAACAATAAAAAACCAGAAAGCATAAGACCATATTATCTCTTCTTGGAGACACCAACAGTCTTTCCCCGACGACCAGTAGTCTTAGTGTGCTGCCCACGCACTCGAAGACCCCAATAATGACGAAGACCACGGTGGTTCCTGTATCAATGACAAGAACATATGAAAATGAAGCAAAGAAGAAGATGCATAACAAGAACCAAACAATGCCCATTATGAATATTGCAACACAGTTTGTATTACTCTGCTGTAAGAAATGTACTTCAGAACCATCTTTAAGAGATAAACGACACTTACAAAATGTAATTCAGTCAAAACAAAACTAAAAGTGAACCTGATCTTCTTCAAACGTTCAAGATCATCTCTCAGCTTCATGTCTAGTGCATTGGATGTCACCTGAGAATACTTCCCATCCTTGTAGTCCTTCTTCCTGTTGAGGAACCAGTCAGGGATTTTGAACTGGCGAGGATTTGCAACAATCGTCATAAGGTTATCAATCTCTGCAGCTGAAAGTTCACCAGCCCTGCACAAGTAATTTTGTAGGTAAATTTCTGAACCACTACAACAGAATAACAAAACTCAGATGCAACAAACTTCAAAAATCACTAGCTATTTCCAGGGAAACAAACTAAGGTAACATATTTGAATTCAACTTCTAAACTTATAACAAGAAGGAATCATGAGTTATAAGCTATGCATTCAGCATTATTTCCATTAAANGTCATAAGGTTATCAATCTCTGCAGCTGAAAGTTCACCAGCCCTGCACAAGTAATTTTGTAGGTAAATTTCTGACCCACTACAACAGAATAAGAAAACTCAGATGCAACAAACTTCAAAAATCACTAGCTTTTTCCAGGGAAACAAACTAAGGTAACATATTTGAATTCAACTTCTAAACTTATATAACAAGAAGGAATCATGAGTTATAAGCTATGCATTCAGCATTATTTCCATTAAAAAAACCTCTACGGAAACCCATATTTTTACTGCTATGAACTAGAAAGAGCATGATTAGAAAACTCAAACAACCTCAAGATTAGTTCCATATTCCTAAAACAGAAACCAATGATACTCGGCTTCATTTGATCATAAATCATAAAAAATAAAATAAAAAAAAAAAGNGAGATTAGTTCCATATTCCTAAAACAGAAACCAATGATACTCGGCTTCATTTGATCATAAATCATAAAAAAAAAAAGGAGACGAAGAAAAGGGAACAGCTCCATTTAACTCCATGATGAAACAAATTTTCATTCTACCTGCAGACCAAATCCAATTTTAAACAATGACCTCAATTACTTTGTTATTTCAGTTACAAAGGGCAATTTTTTTATTTGGTAAAAAGGATATGAAGTACACAAAAGGTCAGTCAATAAATATGGGCCACCTAATCACGATGTAAGTATTGCAGCAATATAATTAGCCAACAATTAACAAAAAACTATTCATCTAAAATTGTGCCTCCATGGCAGCATACATATTCCAAAGGTTGCATTCTGTTAGGTTTGAAATTTNTGTCAGTCAATAAATATGGGCCACCTAATCACGATGTAAGTATTGCATCAATATAATTAGCCAACAATTAGCAAAAAACTATTCATCTAAAATTGTGCCTCCATGGCAGCATACATATTCCAAAGGTTGCATTCTGTTAGGTTTGAAATTTCTTTACATTTCCACTATTTGTTCCTGCCAATTTACATATTTCCCCGACTGTATCTCGTAAATGATGGTGACAAATGTCACCAGAGATTAAGATTATCTTATTTGCAAACTAAATTACAGACCACTAAGTCAATAACCATTAAAATTATCTTATTTGCAAACTAAATTACAGACCAATAACCATTATGACAGTATCCTGCANATAAATGATGGTGACAAATGTCACCAGAGATTAAGATTATCTTATTTGCAAACTAAATTACAGACCAATAACCATTATGACAGTATCCTGCACACTAGAATGGGATTATAGAACAATAAGATTAATTGCAGATATAAAAAATAGCAAATATAACAAATAAGAAGACATATTCACAATAATTATGTATTAGAAAAAAACATAAATAAGTAACCTCCTAGCCAGTGAAATAAAAATTACGCCGAGGAATTTGAGAGCCTAAGGTTCACAATACCGGAAAAGTTAAATAGTAGGAATACCTCTTGTTCATGTCAACATCGGCTTTCTTGCAGACGATGTTAGCAAAACGNAGGAATTTGAGAGCCTAAGGTTCACAATACCGGAAAAGTTAAATAGTTGGAATACCTCTTGTTCATGTCAACATCGGCTTTCTTGCAGACGATGTTAGCAAAACGGCGACCGATACCTTTGATTGAGGTCAGTGCGAACATGATCTTCTGTTTTCCATCAACGTTCGTGTTCTGAACACGAAGAATGTGCTGAAAATCTTCATTCGCAACGAGAGACTGCAAAACAATCACGCACAGATCAACACAACGTACTAATAAGTAGAAAATGAGATGATTCTAATTGAAGGAAAGAGAAGGAGAGAGGTGAAAAGACTCGCCATAGCTAAATTTCAGATCGTGGTTCGCAGAGCGTCTTCCTTCACAGCAGCTGCTCAAAAGAAGAGGAGTCTCTAAACCCTAAACGGGAAAAGCGCATTAGGGTTTATATACAGTGGAGGCAATAGAGCCGCGTTTTAGTCGGCACAGTTGTTTTAATTCGGATTTGTGTGCACTAATAATAACTCTAATTTAATCTATTAATTAATTGTGGGAAAATGACGTTAAAATTTTTTTATTGCACTATCGATATAATATCACCTATTTTTAATAAAATTGAGTATAAAATTTGTATGAAAATATAAATACTTATAAATGAATAATATATAAATAATTGTATACAGAAATAACGAAATATAANCGCAACGAGAGACTGCAAAACAATCACGCACAGATCAACACAACGTACTAAGAAGTAGAAAATGAGATGATTCTAATTGAAGGAAAGAGAAGGAGAAAGGTGAAAAGACTCGCCATAGCTAAATTTCAGATCGTGGTTCGCAGAGCGTCTTTCTTCACAGCGGCTGCTCAAAGAAGAGGAGTCTCTAAACCCTAAACGGGAAAAGTGCATTAGGGTTTATATACAGTGGAGGCAATAGAGCCGGGTTTTAGTCGGCACAGTCGTTTTAATTCGGATTTGTGTGCACCAATAATAACTCTAATTTAATCTATTAATTAATTGTGGGAAAATGACGTTAAAATTTTTTTCTTGCACTATCGATATAATATCACCTATTTTTGAGTATAAAATTTGTATGAAAATAAAAATACTTATAAATGAATAATATATAAATAATTGTATACAGAAATAACGAAATATAAAAAAAATATTTAAAAAGTTATTAGACAAAAGAACATATGTTTAATTTTGAACCACATTACTATATTTTTTTTTATAAGATTGAGGTTGTAATGAGTAAATTCAAATCTTCAACGAGGCCAATTATGAATTTAAAAATATTTCAGGATAAAAAATATTATTGACCTTTAATTCTATTTTATAAAATTTGATATTAATTCATTTTTTTAGATATTATTATATTCAAGTTCACACATAAATTTAGTGAACAAAAATTTAAGCGAAACAAAATAGAAAAAAATATTATTTTGAATAAATCCTATGGTATTTTTCTTTATTCACCAAAAATAACGTTAGATCAATTCCACCACGAGATAAAAAATTATAAACAACAAGATATGACATTTTTTTTTTAGTTCAATAGTCAAGGGTATATAGACCAATTTACGTACATCATAACTAATCTCTTTTTCAATCCGTTCAAACACGTCATAAAAATGTTAGAATTAAAGTATTTATGCAGTATAAATTTTTCATAGCCTAATCTTAAGGAATTGTTAAAATTCAAATTCAATACATTTGATTTTACAACTTTTTTGTATTACCACTTCAACTACTCTTTGAGATTGATGTGACATTATCATAACAGAATAAATTTAAATTTCAAATATGTAAAAATAAAATCAATAATACCATTTTTAATAGTGATGACACATTATTTGGTCTCTATTATTTGTCTCCTTTTCTGGGTCACTGTCACATTACATTTTTTCCATCCCTCCAATTTTACCAACCTAATTTCCCATAAGATCACAATGTCTATATAACAGCATTTATACATAGGAAGAGGACCAGCNCATATAAAATTTGATATTAATTCATTTTTTTAGATATTATTATATTCCAGTTCACACATAAATTTAGTGAACAAAAATTTAAGCGAAACAAAATAGAAAAAAAATATTATTTTGAATAAATCCTATGGTATTTTTCTTTATTCACCAAAACTAACGTTAGATCAATTCCACCACGAGATAAAAAATTATAAACAAGATATGACATTTTTTTTTTAGTTCAATAGTCAAGGATATATAGACCAATTTACGTACATCATAACTAATCTCTTTTTCAATCCGTTCAAACACGTCATAAAAATATTAGAATTAAAGTATTTATGCAATATAAATTTTTCATAGCCTAATCTTAAGGAATTGTTAAAATTCAAATTCAATACATTTGATTTTACAACTTTTTTGTAGTACCACTTCAACTACTCTTTGAGATTGATGTGACATTATCATAACAGAATAAATTTAAATTTCCAATATGTAAAAATAAAATCAATAATACCATTTTTAATAGTGATGACACATTATTTGGTCTCTATTATTTGTCCCCTTTTCTGGGTCACTGTCACATTACATTTTTTCCATCCCTCCAATTTTACCAACCTAACTTCCCATAAGATCACAATGTCTATATAACAGCATTTATACATAGGAAGAGGACCAGCAATAACAATTTCAAACATTGAACTGAATGAATATTGCACGTATTCAAAATCTACAAGACAACGAAATCTTATATATATTGAGCAATGATTCATCCATTTACAATCAACATGGGGCAGGATCACAGAAGTTGAGATTGACATTAGGCTAGCCTGAGAATACTACTAAGCTACAATATTTTTTTAACAAGCAACAACCAGGCTCAAAAATATACCTTGACCTTCGTCGATGAGTGAAACAAAAGAGAAACAACAAAACCCTAAAGTTAGTTATCTGCAGCTATCTTTCGCCCCGGCCCACATGGTAACACACTGAGAATCTCTACTGGCTAATCGAAGAGATGAGGTCACCTATACACCCTCTTCATATCCAACTGCAAGTAAATAACAGGTGATAAAATTTGTGAGAGACAGAGAGAGAGCACAAGCTAATGAAATGAAGTCTACATTCTACATAAATGTACATTCTAAATACACCACAAAACATTCTACATAAATCACAGAATCAATTCATTTTCAGTTAAAATGTACACTGAACGAGTCTGTCGTTTTCTCAATGCTAACAGAAAACTAAATTCTCAGCAGATTTCAATAAAACATATCAACATTTTAGGTTTTAGAGACATGATTATAACTGCAACACTTTTAAGACAGAGCTGAATGGCCAACTTATGCAGCACTAGTAGGAGGATAAACTCTATCCAAGTTGAACAAGTCAAAAGGACACANATTTTAGGTTTTAGAGACATGATTATGACTACAACACTTTTAAGACAGAGCTGAATGGCCAACTAATGCAGCACTAGTAGGAGGATAAACTCTATCCAAGTTGAACAAGTCAAAAGGACACAAGAGGAAGGGGAAAAAAATGCTTGTAAAGAAGGAATATTGCTTCATAAGGCACTGACAAGAGAAAACAGGTCAATGTAAGTGAAGCTAGGTAGTTAGAAGTAAAAGTCGTTGAGAGCTTGCATTGTATAGATGCACTGGAAAATGGATCATTGAAGTTCTTTCAAAGGAATCCCTCAAAAGGATTCGCAGTTACAACACTTGCACTATGCATTTGAAACCTGAAAACTATACAGGACACTGAACACAATGTAGAAAACTTGTAGCAGTTCCCCATGGTGTGTAAATGACTAGTTAGAGACTGCACCAATCAAGGACTTGCAAGAAAAAAAAAATCACATGAAAATTTAATCACATGCTACAAAAAATTTTGCAATAGAATGGAATGAATAAAGAGAAGGCTGAAAATATGCGAGTCAAGGAGGTATGAGAAGGTTTAGATGCCTATAACTTCTCAGTAAATTGACCCTATATATGAATAAGAGGTGGAATATATATGCCAGAAGATAGCTGTTTAAGTAGCAAAAACCACTAAGAGTCTTTGTAACAATACGAAACATACCTCAACAAGAAGTTAGTTTGTAAGCCTTCAGATTTAAATATTAATACTTCCATCAAAAGGACTCCACTGAGTACTAATCAGATAGCTGGAAACCCATTGTACATTTCAAATATCTTGCTATTCATGTAGAAATTGCCCTACAGTTCACTTCCAAAAAAGGAATCTTTATCCACAGACTTGCACTCCCCAAAAGCTAGTGTCCACAAATTATGGGCTTATAGCATCTAAACAGCAGCAAAAACTCAAGCATGCTATCCAACTCCAGTATTCCATGCTTCAGTCACCACACCTTATCATTCTTCAACAATCTACATGAACCTACCTGCAACACAATACCAAATGATAAACTGACTATTTAAACGCGGTAAGATGAAGCAGTGATTAACAAGTACTAAGGCAAAAACTGAAAAGAATGTCATTGATTTAAGAAAGGACAGAAAAATAACACTGTCCATACAGGCAAAAAAATATCAAGACTGCACTTTTAAAGAGAGAGCGTACGACTCTGAGGGGAGAATGTGTTAATTACACATAAAACATTATCATGCTGCATGACCAATGCCATGGTCTGGGGAGTCAACTGTATTTGATCTTTAATGGAGCACCCAAATTTATAAAACTTCGGTACTGGGAAAAACACATTAAAGCTTGGTTGAAAAAGAAAATAGACAATTATGTCAACATCATGTTTCCGAAAATACAATCACCTTAGCAACGCCAAATGAATTACAACTGCTAGAGTTACAGAGACGAGCCAAATCAGGACAGGAGCTGGAGTTGCTCAAGGTTCAGAATCACATAATCTAACAGTAGTATGATAGACCTGAGAACCAGATTGAAGTTGCTTGGATTGGAGCATAATTTAGGCCTCTTTGAAGAGAATCCACATCAAGAGAATCAGAATCTGCCATTCCGAGCAACTTCAATAAAACTGTTATTGTTAAACCCAGCAGGACCAGTCAAGGAAGATGCTCTTACCCCAGTAATATTTTCATTGTCAACACCTGATCCTAATTCTAAAGTCTTGCAAACTTGGCTCATTCAAGAATCAGGGGAATTAGATCCTGTAGTAGCATAAAGGCAGGCTCCGGAAAAAGGAAGTCGCTCACTGTCAACTAAGGCAACATCTTGGGTTTCATGAGTTCTAAGAACATTCATCTGGCAGGTACAATTATGGTTTCTATAGTCAAAAGAACATGCATCTGAGTCATCTGCAGCATCTTCTGCTTGTCCATGGGATGGGGAAGTAGTGTGAACCACTAAGCCACGGAGGTTACAATGATGTGGAATTTCATACTTCGCATCAGAAGGTGTTGGATCTGTGGCCCCTGAATCCTGACAAACAAAATTCTTATCAGAATCTTGAAGTTCGTGTAAACGCTCCGCATCATGGCGTTGAATCATGATTTCAGTAGAATGTTGTATAGAGCCCCCATCAAGAGNTGTTGGATCTGTGGCCCCTGAATCCTGACAAACAAAATTCTTATCAGAATCTTGAAGTTCGTGTAAACGCTCCACATCATGGCGTTGAATCATGATTTCAGTAGAATGTTGTATAGAGCCCCCATCAAGAGAACCACAATAGGGTTTAGGATAATTAACTCCTCTATTCCGCTCACAATCAACAGCATATTTACCCTCCTCTAATGCATAAATAGCTATTATCTCACAATTCACTGAGTCAGACCCAATTGGACAAACAATGGATGGTTTGCCTCCAACGTCACAAATACCATGTTGATTCAACTTGGAATCAATTTCCCCAGTTTTGACATCAGGAAGAGCCATTACAGGAGCAGATGGAAAATTTAGGCATCTATTCATGCCTTCAAGAGTTTGATGTCCACTTTCAGGAGCATCACAGGATGAGTCCTCAGAATCCTTGACGAGTTGATCATTCAAAGAACCATCAGGATGATACATTTGTATAGAGCCCCCATCAAGAGAACCAGAATTGTGTTTAGAATAGTCAAGTCCTGTATTCCACTCACAATCAACAGCATTTTTACCCTCTTCTAATGCATGAGTAGTTATTAACTCACAATTCACCGAGGCAGACCCGATCGGACAAACAGTGGATGGTTTGCTTCCCACACCACAAATATCATGCTGATGCAACTTGGAGTCATGTTCCTCAGTTTCGACATCAGAAAGCACCATGACAGGAGCAGATGGAACATTTGGACATCTATTCTTGCCCTCAAGAGTGTGCTGTCCACTTTCAGGAGCATCGCAGTATGAGTCTTCAGAATCCTTGACGGGTTGATCATTCAAGGACCCATCAGGATGGTACATCCCACAATTGGGTTTAGGATAGTCAACTCCCCTATTCTGCTCACAATCAACAGCATTTTTACTGTCTTCTAATGCATGAGTAGCTATTATCTCATAATTCACTGAGTCAGACCCCATCAGAGAAACGGTGGATGGTTTGCTTCCCACGCCACAAATACCATGTTGATTCAATTTGGAGTCATGTTCCCCAGTTTCAACTTCAGGAAGCACCATTACAGGAGCAGATGGAACATTTGGGCATTTACTCATACCATCAAGAGTTTGCTGTCCACTTTCAGGAGCAACACAGGACAAGTCCTCAGAAACTTTGATAGGTTGATCATTCCAGGAACCATCAGGATGATGCAAACAATTTTCAAGAGCAGCAGTTTCACTAATATCATCCACTCCGATTGCATGTCGGACATTGACCTCAGGGGAAGCGGAAGGATGTGAATCAGACCCAATGCAACATCCCACAAGCTCAGTAGACTTTGAATCTACAGTAACGACACTATTAAAACATTGATAAAAAAAGATCAAGGGAGAACCATACAACCATATATGAAATACCTGCAGCCAGGATCATGCTTCTTTCAAACAGATGCTTTGACAGAGGTTTTTCTAACATATCTGTGCCAGGAAACACTATCATACTCATGCGCCTTATTGTTTTTCTTTTTGATTCTTCAAGGGGCTTGAAACCAAAAACCGAAGTCCAGGTTTGGAGAAGTTCAGATATAGCAGGTATGACCAGTTTCTCAACATCAAGTGAGCAGAGAACCTGATTGTAGTACCAGAAAGGATAAAACACCCAAGGCATAAGAATTCTCACATTAGCAAGGCAAAAGGATAGAACAAGAACATGGATTAAGACTACATGATATGTCATAAACATAACAAGTAGATTACATCACACTATTCATGTGCTGTTTTCAAATCCAAGGATAAGAATCATGTATTTACAAGAAGAAAGCTTGGTCTCTGAACATGTGTACAGAACGAACCAAATGCCGGAATCTCAAAGGAGAAACTAAAGAACGTAAGTAGATAATCAAAAAGTTATACTTTTAAACATCAAAAGACATTTCACTATTCCACATGAGTTCGTGGTGTATGCTAATTGAAGATAATGTACCATGGACATGAAACAAAACTAGTAACTAACAATAAATAAGGAAATTGGAGGAAAACTCCAAAAGCATGACGATTTTATAGAAAACAGAAATAGAAACTGACTATATAGAATATAGCTTCTAAAGAAGTTGAAATCAAAAGAACGAACAACTTTGATATTTGAAGCCGGTATCATAGGGAGGCTGAGATTAGAGTTAACATTACTCGTATATTAAAGCAAAACTTGTTAAGTAAAGAAGTGTGGATATTATGTGACCAATGTCTACCTCGTAATCTAAAAGAGGACACTCTAAAAATCACCATAAATCACAACTATGGTTGAAAATGTTAGGCAACTAAAAACATGTTCAAATATTATTGTTAACAGATGTTAAGATGGAAGTGTGATAGTCTTGAAATGGTTAAGAGAGAATCGACCAAGGTGGTTTGGAAATATTCAAAAAGAACTATAGCTGCAACAGTAAGAAAGAACAACGCCGTACTTATTAATGGTAACATAAAGGATAGAAATAGACCAAAGTTAATGTTAACTGAAATACTAAAAAGGGAAATTATAGCTTTTGCTTTAGTACAAATTATGACTCTAGCCAGAGCACAAGGAAAACAAGATCCATCTAGCTAACCCTAAATACTTGGGACATGTTGAATTGGGGTTGAACTAACTTTTCAAGCAACTATTGTCAACAAAAAAGAAAGAGAAGAGTGTTAATAGTCGTCAAGCAGTAAGAGTTAAGGCTCAATCAACTTGTTCTACTTTTTCATAAAAACTACAACCTTCACGCTTCCGAGATTGTCACAAAGTATTAGCTTGGTTGTGAACCTATATAAGCATGAGCAGACAAGAATTTCAACTACAATAGACTTGAATAGGGTTGAAAGGAGAAGTTTTCACCCATGGATATTCATATCTCAGGGATTGACGAGGTTTTATCAAAATATCCAATTTATAGTGGGAAATGGGGTAAAAGTACGTTTTTTGGAGGATATATGAGTGAGGGAGTCATCTTTATGTTATTTGTTTCCGTATCATTATAATTTATCTTGCTATCAAGGTGTTTCTATAGCATCTTTGATTCGGTCTTAGCATCTTGGGAATGGGTTTTGTAGGAATCTTATTGATTGGGATATGAAGGAGTTCATTGTTTTGCTTTGCTATTCTTAATAATTAGTATTTGTCTCAAGAGTCTCTTGATAAGAGAAGGTGGATTTGTTAGTCTTTCCAGTATGTTTTCATTAAGTCCTTTGAGGATCTCATTAATGATTCTTCTAGTTCTTTATTTTTGCCTTCAATCATGATTTGGAAGGTTAAGGTGCCTATTAAAGTGCAATTTTTTGCATGGACTGTTGCATATGGTAAGATTAATACTAATGATTTGCTTTAAAAAAAGAGACCTCAAACTAGTGTTTCCCCTCAATAGTGTGTCATGTGTAAAGGTAATTGTCAGAGCATTGATCACTTGTTTCTATATTGCCCTATTGATTTGTCATTGTGACATAAATTGCTTGATTTGGGAGGATTGAAATGAGTGCTTCCTAAATTATCCACATCGTTGTTTGTTGAGGTTTTGAGAGGTTTTGGGCGGAGTGATAAATGAATGACTTTGTGGAATGGCGCTACTATGGCTATTTTTTGGGTTATCTGGAGGGAAAGAAATTCAAGAATTTTTCAAGATAGAAGCAAAGAAATGGATGGTTTATGGAACTGTATTCATTTTATTGCATCGTTTTAGGCTTCGGGTTCCAAGGAATTAAAGGGAATCCCACTTTTTATTCTAATGCCCGGATGGACAGCTTCATGTTATTTATAAGCTTCTAATGTATTTTCTTTTGGATTGTATCTTTGTGTTCCTTTGGTTGGCTTCTTAGCCAATCCTATTCATTTGCTCTTTTATTTTAATGCATTTTCTCCGTCTACTATCAGAAAGAAAAAAAAAAGTTCATCTACGATAAAGATGGATATAGGCACCAATTTCAAGTTCACTAACATTGTTAAAACCCTTATGCCTAGACCAAAGATTAACTTAGTGATAGATTAACAAAGATCCAGGAANTATCATTATAATTTATCTTGCTATCAAGGTGTTTCTATAGCATCTTTGATTCGGTCTTAGCATCTTGGGAATGGGTTTTGTAGGAATCTTATTGATTGGGATATGAAGGAGTTCATTGTTTTGCTTTGCTATTCTTAATAATTAGTATTTGTCTCAAGAGTCTCTTGATAAGAGAAGGTGGATTTGTTAGTCTTTCCAGTATGTTTTCATTAAGTCCTTTGAGGATCTCATTAATGATTCTTCTAGTTCTTTATTTTTGCCTTCAATCATGATTTGGAAGGTTAAGGTGCCTATTAAAGTGCAATTTTTTGCATGGACTGTTGCATATGGTAAGATTAATACTAATGATTTGCTTTAAAAAAAGAGACCTCAAACTAGTGTTTCCCCTCAATAGTGTGTCATGTGTAAAGGTAATTGTCAGAGCATTGATCACTTGTTTCTATATTGCCCTATTGATTTGTCATTGTGACATAAATTGCTTGATTTGGGAGGATTGAAATGAGTGCTTCCTAAATTATCCACATCGTTGTTTGTTGAGGTTTTGAGAGGTTTTGGGCGGAGTGATAAATGAATGACTTTGTGGAATGGCGCTACTATGGCTATTTTTTGGGTTATCTGGAGGGAAAGAAATTCAAGAATTTTTCAAGATAGAAGCAAAGAAATGGATGGTTTATGGAACTGTATTCATTTTATTGCATCGTTTTAGGCTTCGGGTTCCAAGGAATTAAAGGGAATCCCACTTTTTATTCTAATGCCCGGATGGACAGCTTCATGTTTTTTATAAGCTTCTAATGTATTTTCTTTTGGATTGTATCTTTGTGTTCCTTTGGTTGGCTTCTTAGCCAATCCTATTCATTTGCGCTTTTATTTTAATGCATTTTCTCCGTCTACTATCAGAAAGAAAAAAAAAAGTTCATCTACGATAAAGATGGATATAGGCACCAATTTCAAGTTCACTAACATTGTTAAAACCCTTATGCCTAGACCAAAGATTAACTTAGTGATAGATTAACAAAGATCCAGGAAAAAGTTAACGTTCAAGAAATCTTCACAAGGTGCGCATGACTAACACACATGATTGGCAGGAGGACAGTTACCGACAGCACTCATATCTTCCACTTCCCATTTTGCCAAGGCTAGGATTGCAAAAACAGGCACATAGCATGCCCCATATTCCAACAAATATAATGTGGAGGATGTAGGAAACATAGATCACACAAGTTACTTTCAATGAAGCATATCCACTTGCAAGGGTAGCTTCCGTTTTATCATTGGATGTATGACGGAAATTATTGTTGCAATAATGCACAAGTTGTTCATCCATTATTTCATATAACCAATTAGACATGCATAGAAATTTAAGCCATTGCAACCACCTGATGAAACTTAAGTGTTATGTCATGCAACCCCTGAAATAAGGTGTCATCAGGCACAAGTGCATGCATATATGTAAGGCAAAAAACAGAAAAATGAAAGCGCAGAAACATGAAGAGTTGTACCAAATGCATCCTTATCCTTTTAGAACTATTTGTTCCCAGGCTTTTTCCTTTTATCTTCATCCAAGACCTTAGGTTATAAATTTTACCCTGCTATTTGATGCTTACGAACAAATGGCATCGGGATTTTCTGTATCACTTGGCCCTACATTTCTGATGCAAGTCGTTTGGGTTTAAACATTTTGGCAACTCTACAAACCTTATTCAGAATTTATTATTCTTTTGAACTTGCAACAGAAAAACTAAACCTAAGCTTCTCTTCTTTTCAGTTTGTTGCTTGTGCCTATTGAGCTTAAATGTAACTTTATGCTCATATTGTTTGCAGTAATAAAAGATGAAAGTATCAAAACTGAGACAAAACAGGACAAAGAATCTAATATATCAAAATTACAATGTTCTAATACGCACTGATTCAATTGCATTAAGGAGCCGACGACACATCCCTTGACGCCTATACATGTGACGTGTCCCAATGAATGGCATCTCTGCTAATTGACTCCCATGTATCCTGTTTTTGAATGTAGCAGAACTTGTAACCGTCTGAAAAATTAAGTAATTACAAAGGCACGCGAATATCATAAGGGTAATTATACTCTNCATCATTATAATTTATCTTGCTATCAAGGTGTTTCTATAGCATCTTTGATTCGGTCTTAGCATCTTGGGAATGGTTTTTGTAGGAATCTTATTGATTGGGATATGAAGGAGTTCATTGTTTTGCTTTGCTATTGTTAATAATTAGTATTTGTCTCAAGAGTCTCTTGATAAGAGAAGGTGGATTTGTTAGTCTTTCCAGTATGTTTTCATTAAGTCCTTCTTTGAGGATCTCATTAATGATTCTTCTAGTTCTTTATTTTTGCCTTCAATCATNTAGTGTAATTTACCCAAATTTAATATCTTACATCTGCACCAGCAAATAATATAAGGTGCTTCCAACCACCATGTATGATGTTAAAATATCTTTGCCGCCAACACCACTCTTAAAAAAATCCGCAGGATGTATGCCTTACAGCCTTTTAAGGACAAAGCAAGATTATGGACAGAACAGCATGGACTTTTAGGGTGAAATCATGCAACCACCAATATGCATCATCANTATCCACAGGATGTATGCCTTACAGCCTTTTATGGACAAAGTAAGATTATGGACAGAACAGCATGGACTTTTAGGGTGAAATCATGCAACCACCAATATNAATCCGCAGGATGTATGCCTTACAGCCTTTTAAGGACAAAGCAAGATTATGGACAGAACAGCATGGACTTTTAGGGTGAAATCATGCAACCACCAATATGCATCATCATGGATGAAGTAAAACAGAATTTTAAAATTAAGTTTAGTGTTTTAAAAGAACATGCTATAAGGATGGGAAAAAAAATCAGAACAAGCAGCCCCATGTTTGAAAGAATAACTGCACCTACAGTACTCCGTTAAATCTACTTTATATGGAAAAAAAGACTCCTGCGTTGCTAGAAGAATAAATTTTAATTCCTAAAATTGTATCCTTCAATAATTTTCAACTTCAATGGATAATAAATCTCCCAAATTTTTAATCACAAAGTTCATTTACACCACAAATTTGGTTCTGCTGACAGTTCTGCTGCATGATGTTAACAGCTGTAACTCAAGTTCTAATCAGGAGGAGGGGATTGTAGTATCAAAACTTAAGTCATGGTTGTGGTAATAAAAATCACTACAGTTTAATAACCATATATTCAGAGCCAATTAAACCATAAAAAATTAATGATACGGTAGAAAGCTCACAAGTAAAATTTGTAAAACAGGCAGGTACATGAACTTTATTACCATGGTCACAATGGTGAATATATCCTATGATGACATCTACAAACCCAATTCAATTTCTCAATATCTGAAGTAATGTATACCCACAGACAATATTTTCTCACCATGCTCTTAAAAGTCACGTAGTGGGACACAGTTATGCCCCAATACTCTAAAAGCTATGCATTGATGTAGATGATGTCAGAAATAACCTTATAGATGCTGCCGAGATAATTTCATCCCCCCTCTCTAAAACAGCCGTGTAGAAGCCACTGTAATTCAGCCGCCTAAAGTTTGACCTGGGAACAATTTTCAAAAAGTAACCACGATATTATAGAATCAGAATTTATCAACCACAGACGTATATCCAGAACAAATATACAGATATGGAATTACTTGTCATAATTAAAATAATGGGATGCTAGAAGTCAAAGAAAAAAATATCCCTTCATACATTGCTAATACACATAATGAAGATCAAAAAAAAAAATACAAATAAAAAAATAATAAAAAAAATTAAAAAAAAAGATCAGGTACACCTTGGTAAACATTAAAAAAATATATCAAAGCATTACAAGGTGAGAAAGATACAAAGTATCAAAAACCAAGTGGCTAACCTATGGTCAACTATGCAACTTCACCAGCTTGTGAGTCAATATCACGTCAAATGCAAGAGCTTCCATAAATGAACCTTATAGTGACCGAATGATGATTTCCTCAAAATGTCAACTAACAAATGCCAACAGGTTTTTAAAGATTTCAGCTTCATCTGTCAACATATATGCATGCTTCAATCAGTATAGTTCTACAGTGCTTACCCACAGCTGTAGACAACATTATGAATCATACTGATCCCACTTCTCTCGTCAGTAACTGGCAGAAAGCACTCATCCATAATAGACAATGCAACAGCTAACTTGGAGTTACATTCAACCTTTAGGGGAGCACCACTAAGAGAATTATCACCGCTAACATCACAATGTTGAAGAAGAGTCCATGAAAATCCTTCTTCCAGTTCATGTTTGGTNCTAAGCGAATTATCACCGCTAACATCACAATGTTGAAGAAGAGTCCATGAAAATCCTTCTTCCAGTTCATGTTTGGTGCCCAGAAGAACCTGTAGTCGCTCAAAGAGCTATTGAGCAACAGATGGTCAATGCATTTCAGTGCGTCATGAGTGACAAATTATATTTCTTCTATAAGAGAAGCGTATTTAAGCTAGTCACTTAAAAATTAGATCTCTCGCATTATACCTGCTGGCAGTTCCTCCCACAAAAAGATGGATGTTTGGAATTGACATCTATAGCATCCTTACCCTGGATGCACAATTGGTGGACTGCAGCAGGCAAAATTTGTTATTATCAAGCAAAAACTACCCTTTTANGACATCTATAGCATCCTTCCCCTGGATGCACAATTGGTGGACTGCAGCAGGCAAAATTTGTTAATTATCAAGCAAAAACTACCCTTTTAAAGTGAAACATAGAAAGCAACAGAGAAAGCTAGGACTACCCACACAATATGAAATTTGATGAAGATCAAAGTACATACATTTTTCCTCACACAAACGGCATGAAAGCAGTTCATTCACACATGTATCGTGATTATCATCCTTCTGAGAAGGGCTCCCATCAACTGTCCCGCAGAATTTGCATGAACAGTAAAGACATCGCCAATAACCACAAGGGAACTTCTGCAAATACCAATAGAAAAATGACTGTCATCTACAAGAGTAAAGTACTTTGGCCAAGTCGTCAGCTTTGTCTAGATGGACGAATGATATGAACATGACCATTGACTTCAAAAATAAAAACTTCACAGCGATTGGAGGTTGCATAATTTATTTGACTATATTTCTTAATATGTAAATTTCACAGCGATCAAATATAATTGCATTCTTGGGAAAGGACAGACCCATACTTTGTCTAGGGCATCATTGATGGCCATCCCAAAAGGCAACCAAAAAAGGTGGGCTTCGAAAGAAGGTCTACTAATTTAAAAAGCCTTTTTCATGACTGCTGCAGTACATCTAAATGAATAAGCCTCAAGAATGCTGGTGAGTGGCAATGAAAAAGGCTCACCCTTGGTACAATCCACAAATAAAGAATGATAAGACATCATGCACAATGTTTGCCATGTGCACAATAACAAGTACAAAGACAATTGAAACCACTTTTGAGAGAGAGAGAGAGAAAACAGGAGAGGAAGGAGGAGGAGGTTATATATCCGTACTTGGATGTCTAAGCAGCTTTGATGGAATGTTGACGGGCATCCATCGCAACAGATTAAGACACCACCATCTCCACACATGTTGCATGTATCATCATTGGGGTCATCACCATCAGTATCCACAAAATGGAATCCAATATTCTTATTCTCTTCTTGTTTACTCCATGAAACAACTAGGCATTGCAGAAGAGAAACACCAGACTGTAAGTATATATTTTCAAATGGCTGATACAGTTGACATCCAGCATGTGACTGAAAATTTGAAATTCCAAGTATTTCATGACAGCAACCACATTGAATGCCGTTTCTGGTAATCTGTCCCTCAAGCAGTACTCTTGTCCTCTTACTGTCCATATACTGCACCTTCCCACCAGGCAGAATGGTTCCCAAGTCAATCATCCAGGAAAGAAGACTGCGCTTCCCAGTATATTCTATAAAACCATCACCATCTGGATCCAACCCCTTCTCAGAGCTACGAATCAAGAGAGCACATGGCTTTCTACTTTTTCTCTCTTCCCGAGCTGATCTAGGCATTCCCTTGCGTTCTGGCTCTGCCGAATTCCCTTGTTCACAATGCAATGTGTTTCCTTTCATTTTTTTATTTGATGATTTATCACCTGGCCTTATGGCAGAATTAAGATTTCCTCTCACCTTCAAGCCCCCCATGCTGTTTGTAGAAGATTTATTCTTAAACAACTTCTTTCCAGTGATTCTTTTCTTAGTCTTCACTTTTATACCTTTCTCCTTTTTCATTTGTGTCACCCTAAAAAGTTTGCTGAATACCTCCTCTGGTATAGGAATAAAGGCAGAAATGGTCTTATTGTCAGCAACTCCATCTTCAACTTTCTCTTTAAGCTTCCTGTAGGCCAAGGTGACTGACCAGTAAGTTCTTCCTTCAGGATCGACATATACTGCATCGAGGTACTCTCTGCTTTGCCTGGGTCGATATTCTACAGTCCATCCTGCTTTCTTAAGCATGCTGATTATCTGTTCTCTCACTAACTGTTTTTCTTCCCTACGCCCCACTTCCCCTTCTGTCTTGTGCTTGTTGGTTTCTAACTGTTCTCCATTATCACTCCTCCCCACCTGATGTGAATAACTGGTTAGCCTGTTGCGCTTGCTCTGATCCTTTGGTCGATCACTCTTTCCCTTGGACCTTGTAACTTTTTCTTTCTCAACATTGATCACCCCTGAGGCCTTGTTACCGCTATTTTTTTTGGACCCCATAACCTTTTCTTTCTCGTCACCAATCACCAGAGATACCCCATTTATCCACTTAACCTTGGGGGGCCTTCCGCGTTGCCCTTTTATTCTTTTCCATGGTCTGCCAATCATTCGAACACTTTCACCCTTTTCCATCTCGACCTTTTTCTTGTCTGATTGAACAAATCCCTTCTTTCTGTGTCCACCCACACCCTTTCCGCCATCAAAAACCTTTTCGTCACCATTCATCGACATTGTCTTAGACCGCAAAACCCTCCCAACAACCTGCATCCTACCATCCAAAGACTCCTTGTTGACAGTCTTTCTCCCAACCACATCATCCTCATTGCATTCAGAACTCAACACTACTTTTCTCTTCCTCCCCCGTCGGCCTTTTTCAGGCTTATGCGTAGCTTTATCAGCATTGGCATCGATATCACCATCACTATTGGCACCCAAATTGACGCGATGATCAGCATCTTTTCTGCACTCCACAAGTTCAAATCCACTTCTCTCCTCCTCAAGTTTACTTTCAGAGGAAGAAAGAACTGAATTGTTGACATAACCTGAGTTACTTGAATTCAAATGTAACCCCCTCTTCTCCACATCACCTGCATTAGTGGCTTCAGCTTCCTCTTTCGGATTGTCCACCTTCTTTCTTTTTCTTCCCCTCCGGCCTTTACCAAGTTCACGCCTATCGTTATTAATACCACCGTGAGAATCGGAACTCACAGCAAAACCAGCATTGACATGGTTACTACATTCCACATGTACAGTCGCACTTGTCTCGCCGACTTTTTTTTCTTGGGTTGAAAGAGCCAAACCTTCTACAAAATCCAAAGCATTTGACATTAAAACCAAAACTCCTTTCTTCTCATCAACATTGTCGGTGTCATCCTTGCCCTCCTCGGGACTCTCCACCTGTTTCCTTTTCCTCCCCTGCCCACCTATAGCAAACTTACAGCCACTTTTATCAGTTACACCATCAGCATTGACATCAACATCAGTAATTGCATCGGCATCAGCATCTTTGCAGCATTCCACAATTTCAGGCTCGCTTCCCTTCTCCTCAGCCTCTGTTTTTACAGAAGAAATAGCCAAGTCTTCAACTGATTTCTTTTCACCGCTGATGCCATCGTCGTCATTCTTCGAGCTCGAATCATCCTTGATTTTAGCATCATTATCAATATCTATTTTCAAATCAACCTCAATTTTTTGCGCCACAGCACTTGATCTCAACCCCTCTCTCATCTCATCCACGAAAAACACGCAGCCCCTAGATCCACAATCAAAAAACCCACCCTCCAGATTCAAGACAAGCTCATCCAAGCCAACTCAAAACAAATTTGCAAGTGAACACCATTAATATTGACCATTCCTCAGAGACTCACATCACGCAAAATTAACACTAGATTAAGCAAGCTCAAAAAACTCTGTAAACTGAAAAATAGAAAGAAAATAAACATAAAAAACAAAAGAAGAAATACGAAACCTAAAATAATACAGAAAACAAAAATAAAACTCTCACCTGGAAGCAAAGCCTCCGTAATACAGCTATAAATACGTATAGCACCTCTGCATCTATAGGTTGTGTGGTTAGGCGGTGGAATGCGAAAGGAAGGGCGAAGAGAGAGGATTGTGATGGAATTGGGATTTTAGAGAGAGAGAGCATCAGCAGCAGCAGCAGGGAAAGGGAAGGGGTTGGCGTATGGGTTGGGTTTGGGGATTTGGGTCGTCTGTTTACTTTTCCGTACGTTATTTTAGTTGTAGTGGTTACTGTGTGCCAGACTTGGGTTGGGTCTCTACGAAGGAGAGGCGGGATTATTGTAATTTCCCGGACAATTGGAAATCAAATTTTAGAAGCTCCAATGGATTATTGGGTGTCGATAATTTCGTGTTTGTGTGATTCACATCTCATATTCATATTATTTGTATTATGTTATTATTATTTGTGTCATATTTGTATTAATACTTTTACTCACAAGTCACGATTATTTTTAGTTATGCATAGTTTGATAAAAAAGATGTAAAATTATAAGGATGAAAAAAATATAAGAAAGACTTTCTATTTTTAGATAAAAAAAATATTTTTTTTATTTTATGTTCGGTCTAATTGATGTAATTGGTACTATATTTCTGTCTTTGACTTATCAATTGAGGGGTGCTTCTTCTCGTATATGTGGTGTGCCTTGTCGTCCTAAATCTAAGCGATAGAAGTCTCACTTTTCTCGGATGGAGTCTCATGTCCCTCTCCCGCTGTATAAGGAGTGTCTAAAGACAGAACTTCTATTCGATTCAACCAGATTTTTTAGAACATTTTCAACCCCCCCTTTGAATTCTATTTTCTAACATATAGCAATAGAAGTCGACTTGAGAAGATTCTTGTTGAGTGTCGTCACACCGTCGGACTTTTGTCTTATAGACAAGGATCAGATGAATGAAGTTTAATCCTTTTTATCTTGTTTGTGGTTTATTCCGTCTATAATCATCTTGGCCGCCCACTTAGAAGGTGTTTGGACAATTCACCTTCTGACTCATTCCTTCGATCGATCCTTCTTCGGGCATCAATTCATCTATCACTCATTCACAAGCCGCTCTGTCATTATCTGATCACACTCGATAATATGTATCTATTTAGTGTATAAACAATTCTTTAGTGTCGCACCAAAAGGTACATACGGGTGGAGNCTAAGCAATTCTTTAGTGTCGCACCAAAAGGTACATACGGGTGGAGGTTGGTTAAAAATGATGTTACGCGGTATTCAGAACCAGTTTTAAAGTGAATGAATTAGAAATGGGATGGGCCTTTAATCGAAATAAAGAGCTTCCTTCTGCTAGAAATAAATTCGATCTAGACTTTTTCAAGACAAATGTTAGTGTGAACTAAACACCTTTTCTTGTTACATTTTGCAACATCTTGAATTGCACTTCCAACAGCACATATCATTCCACAAGGCATGTCGTATTGGCCTGGCACTCTAATAGCGGATTTATTCAAATGCCGAATTAAGAGTCAAATACCTTTTACTTCAACTATGCCCTACTAGTAAAGCTTGAAAGGAATCAATTATTTTATTATTATTTAGTATTGAAAAAAAAGTGGAAAAAATATGTACATGCACTTAATTTAACATTATACCTTTATATGTAAAATTTTTTTTTTATTATAAATAAAATTTTAAAGATTCAGCATCGCTTTAATTAGTTTATAAAATATATATATATATATGTATACCAAAAAATAATACCCAAAAAACATACGTAGGAAAAAATGTATGTAATAGGATATTTAGAAGTGTTTCTTGAAAAATGTTCAGGTTTTGATTTGAAATTACCACATAATGTTTAGAAGTATATTTAAGGGGAAAAAATTAATTTATTCAGAAAAGTAGTTTGTCTTCAATTTTTCTCTAACTTTCTTCCCACTTTTGGGTGAAAAAAAAATGGTAAGCCAAAGGGAAACATTTTCCCTCCAATTTTCGTTTGTAACCAAAGAATAAAAAACTTTTCTTTCCATTCCANTCTGTCATCCTAAATCTAAGCGATAGAAGTCTCACTTTTCTCGAATTGAGTCTCATGTCCCTCTCCCGCTGTATAAGGAGTGTCTAAAGACAACTTCCATTTGATTCAGCCAGATTTTTCAGAACATTTTCAACCCCCCTTTTGAATTCTATTTTTTAACAAATAGCAATAGAAGTCGACTTGAGAAGATTCTTGTTGAGTGTCGTCACACTGTCGGACTTTTGTCTTATAGACAAGGATCAGATGAATGAAGTTTAATCCTTTTTATCTCGTTTGTGGTTTATTCCGTCTATAATCATCTTGGCCGCCCACTTAGAAGGTGTTTGGACAATTCACCTTCTGACTCATTCCTTCGATCGATCCTTCTTCGGGCATCAATTCATCTATCACTCATTCACAAGCCGCTCTGTCATTATCTGATCACACTCGATAATATGTATCTATTTAGTGTATAAACAATTCTTTAGTGTCGCACCAAAAGGTACATACGGGTGGAGGTTGGTTAAAAATGATGTTACGCGGTATTCAGAATCAGTTTTAAAGTGAATGAATTAGAAATGGGATGGGCCTTTAATCGAAATAAAGAGCTTCCTTCTGCTAGAAATAAATCCGATCTAGACTTTTTCAAGACAAATGTTAGTGTGAACTAAACACCTTTTGTTGTTACATTTTGCAACATCTTGAATTGCACTTCCAACAGCACATATCATTCCACAAGGCANGATCCCTTTTTCTCTTTCAAATATTTCAAGTTGGTATCAAAGTCAAACCCTAACCCTAACTCTAACCTTCAGCCATACCCAAAACCAGCCACTGCCCACCAGTGAACAATAATACCCAGCGTTAACAGAAGCCACCCAGCAAACAACAAATACCGACCAGACTGCCTACACCGACCAGCATACAAAAATAGCCCACCGACTAGCTCTNTTACTAGTAAAGCTTGAAAGGAATCAATTATTTTATTATTATTTAGTATTGAAAAAAAGTGGAAAAAATATGTACATGCACTTAATTTAACATTATACCTTTATATGTAAAAAAAAATTTTTATTATAAATAAAATTTTAAAGATTCAGCATCGCTTTAATTAGTTTATAAAATATATATATATATATATATATATACCAAAAAATAATACCCAAAAAACATACGTAGGAAAAAATGTATGTAATAGGATATTTAGAAGTGTTTCTTGAAAAATGTTCAGGTTTTGATTTGAAATTACCACATAATGTTTAGAAGTATATTTAAGGGGAAAAAATTAATTTATTCAGAAAAGTGGTTTGTCTTCAATTTTTCTCTAACTTTCTTCCCACTTTTGGGTGAAAAAAAAATGGTAAGCCAAAGGGAAACATTTTCCCTCCAATTTTTGTTTGTAACCAAAGAATAAAAAACTTTTCTTTCCATTCCATTTTTCTTCCCTCATTTTCAATCCACTCAACTTTCCATCAAACCAACCACACTATTAGGCCCTTAGCTCATTTTACTTGGTTTTATTACCAATTAGGTGCCTTTTGTTAAATTGGATTCATATCAATATAAAAAATTAATTAATTTTCAATCATATATGTTCTACTTCGCATTGCCTACAAATCATAATAGTTGATAGTCTGATTTTATATCGTATAAACCCAATACACTCTTCTGACTCATTTATGAAAAGTTGTGAGAAAACAATATAACTTTAACTGCTGCTGCAGCTAAATGCAGACTCAGTAACTTATATGTTCATTTCGTGTTGAGATTATAAATCATTGACCCTAATTTCTTTAATCATTTTGATCAAAACAATATAAAATTATCTATTACTTTGATAACAATTTCACAAAATCAAAACCACAGGAACCCTGATGTATTTCGAGAGTTAGACGCCATAGATTATGAGGAGAAATATTCTCTTCCAAAATGCAATTCACATCACACTTTCCACTGGTTGGTGTGTCTCTTCCAAGATGCAATTCAAATCACACTTTCCACTGGTTGGTGCGTCTCTTCCAAGATGCAATTCAGTTCACACTTTCCACTGGTTGGTGTGAAATACTTAACCAAAGATGGCTCAAATGGCAACAAGTATAAACTATAAATTCAAACATCTTAAGTTCAAATTTTAACAAGTATAAGGCATGAAAGATTTATTTTTCATAAATACTTTAATCTCAATATAGATGATATGTTTTTAACTTAACCACGAATTAGTCAAAATATGCGTAAACTAACGCAAATACCCTAACCGTTGAACAAAACAAAATTCATTGAACACTTTGTGGGGGCTTTAGGGGCTACATTCAAGTTGTATACAAACAGTACAATATAAAACACAACCACAACACGAGTCATGACCCCCTCAGGCATATTATAGGTTTGGTTTGTCGGGCAGATCTCACATGCACTCGGGGCATCCCAAAAGCCAAGAACATATTTTTATTTGTATCTGTTGGAGATATAGCAGCTTAGTTTATTAGGGTTTATTAAATTTCTCTTTTTTACCTTTTTATCCTTATTTTAACTTTCATTGGCTATATATACGGGGGCTCTACACTTAGTTTTGATTCCTTTTTCTCTTTCAAATATTTCAAGTTGGTATCAAAGTCAAACCCTAACCCTAACTCTAACCTTCAGCCATACCCAAAACCAGCCACTGCCCACCAGTGAACAATAATACCCAGCGTTAACAGAAGCCACCCAGCAAACAACAAATACCGACCAGACTGCCTACACCGACCAGC